GGGGCTCGGCTCCCTGCTCGGCCGCGGCGGCGGCTGCTCCTGCGGCTGCTGCTGCTCCGGCTGCTCCTGCGGCTGCTGCTGCGGCTGTGGCTGCTCCTGCAGCTGCTCCTGCGGCTGCTCCGGCTGCTCCTGCTGCTCCTGCTGCTGCTGTGGCTGCTCCTGCAGCTGCTCCTGCTGCTGCTCCGGCTGCTCCTGCGGCTGCTGCTGCTGCGGTGGCGGCAGCTCCTCCGCGTCCGCCTGCAGCTCCGCACGGACCCCGGGGCCAGGCCGGCCCTGCGGGCGCTCGCGGGGCCGGTGGGAAGGGCCGGCCCTGGCTCTGGGCGCCCGCGGGGACCCTCCCCGTACGGGAGCAGGGCCCGGCTCGTCCCGCGGCGGCTCCGGGGGTGGTTCAGCCGCCTCGGGCTGGAGCGCGGCCGTGCCCCAGGACGGCGCCGAGAGCGGGGTCCATCCAGGCTCCAGCAGTGACACAGCCAGGGACAGGTCGCTGCTCAGGGCACTGTCTGTGTCCTCCCAGGCGCAGGGGCTCAACAGGGACACCTGAGAAGAGAGGGAGCAGGGGACACTGAGTGCCGGGGCCGGGCTCTGTTGAGGCGCCTCTTGCCAGGCCGCGGCTTGGCCGGGCCGTGTCCGCGCTGCAGCCAGGGCAGCTCCTGCGCGGCGTGGGCAGAGCCGGGCGCTGGGCACCCACCTCGCTCGGCCAGAGCTGCGCTCGTGCGACGGGCACGCAGCCCTGCGCCCAGGCGTCCGTCACGCACGGCGGCGGCTCCTCGTCCTCCTGCCACGCGGCGTCTCCGTCCAGGCTGCGCTCACCCTCGTCCCGCGCCAGGAAGCGCCACGCGGCGATGTGCAGCATGGCCTCCCGCGCCTCCTTCACCGTGAAGGGCACGCGCTGCGGAGCAACACGGACACCAGGGGCGGCTCGGCACCCCACGAGGACCAGGGGACACCTCGGCACCCAACAAGGACAATGGGACACCTGGGTGCCCAACAAGGGCCAGGGGACATCTCAGCAACCAACGAGGGCAATGGGACACCTTGGTACCTAACAAGGGCAGTGGGACACCTTGGCACCCAATGAGGATAAGGGGACTCCTCAACACCCGTGAGGACGAGGGGACACCTTGGCACCCAACGAGGACAGTGCAACACCTTGGAACTTGACAAGAACAGGGGGACCCCTTGGCACCCAAAGAGGACAAGGGGACATCTCGACACCTGCAAGGACAAGGGGACAGCTCGGCACCCAATGAGAATGAGGGGACAGTTCAACACTCACAAGGACGAGGGGACACCTTGGCACCCATGAGGACAAGGGGATACCTCGGCACCCCCACAGGGACCAGGGGACCCCTGTGCACCCCACGAGGAGCAGGGCCCCCCGTGCGCCCCCCGGGCAGCGCGGAGCGGTGTCGCCGCGCGGTGCCCGGGACGGCCGCTCACCTGCCGCTCCAGGTAGAGGCGGTCGCAGGCGGCCAGGGCGGCCTCGAGCAGCTCGGCCACCACGTCGGCGGCCTCGTCCTCGGCCCGCTCGGCCGCCAGCAGCGCCAGCCACTCGCCCTGGCTCAGGCGCCCGGGCACCACGTCGAGCGGCG